GGTGAGGCTGAAAACTTTTCATCGTGTATGTATATACCCAAATTTACCAAAATTCAGTCATTTTAAGACACCCCCATCCCGCAAAAAATAACTCATCAGCTGCTGTTATTTTTATTATATGGAATGAAAATCCGCTGGTTTTTAACTAGTTCCTTGTGAGTACATAAATGGGAACTTTGAACTCCATGTGAGATTTTAGCTGTATTTTTTATTGAATTATATTTTATTTGAAAATAATAATCGTGAACCTTTGAATCATATTTAATTTAAATATTTGCGGCTATTTCACATATAATGTTCCACCCATCCATTAAAATAGCTATAAAAATATCTCCCCTCTCTGAAAAATACAACAGTGGTGAGATACTGGAAGACCGTAGTGAATCTGTTTTTATAGCACTGCCTCAGAACCCAGGTGCAAACGAATGTGAATATCAGAAAATCAGGCTAATGAACCATAAAACAAAACTTATCAGAATTCTGATGAATAAAGCGTGCAATAGAATTAGACCGGAAATAGGTCAAGAAGTGTGTGGGTTCGTTAAAGACACTGAGGCAAGAAATGTATTATTTATTATCAGAATTATATCAGAAAGAGCAATACTAAATGCAAAAGAATGCGTGTCCGTGTTTTATAGCGATTGCAAAACTGTCACAAAGAACTGTGGAAACTGCTAAGTGACATTGATATATTTCGGAAAGATATTAGAATAATCCAGAACCTATACTAGGAGCAAACCTGTTTGCATACGGATAGAAAATGAGTTCAGTAAATACACAAAAAAAGAAAGGGGTATAAGACAAGGATGTGTCTTCTCACCGGACTTATTCAACTTATACAGAAAGGCGATTCTGAGAGAATTAGAAGTCCTACCAATATTCATTATCTTGACGATATAAGATATGCAACTGACATAGGGTTGATAGCAGACACAGAAAGCAAACTACAATAACACAAGAAAAGTTAGTAAAGGGAAGCGAGAAGAAAGGACTAAACGTCAATTGCAAGAAAACAGGATACATGGTCGTCAGCACAAGGGACAGTATAACATGACAATTACAAATTGCGGACACCAACATCAAACAAATGCAACAATTTACATATCTGTGGAGTCTTTTAACAGTGGATAGAAAGAACAACACTTGGAAGGCGCATTGGGATAACTAAAGTAAAAAAAAGCTAAAGAGTATTGAACTATTACAATATAAGTCTTCCAATAGTGATTTTCCAAGCGTAGCTTAGGATGTGGCATAAGGCCGAAAGTATGGGACATTCAGTGAGGATCGAACTCACTACTCAGTCACAACTGTGCTAGCGTGACAAGTTTGCTAACTATTATACTGCCTCGAGGTGCCCAAAATGATAGTTTACACCGGTAGTAGGGGTCTGTTTACAGTACCAGGTGTTCCCAAGCGGCTCCACCATCTAAGTACTGACTTTGCCCTACGATGTTTAACTTCGGCGTTCGAACGAGAATCGGTGTGTTCATCGTGATTTGACCGTAAGCAATCAGTCCTCCAATATGGCAGTGATTGCTGGACAATCCCCTCAGAGATGAAGAAGAGATCTGCATCTCTTTTCAGTTTACATGGAAATTAACTGGAAGTATTATTTGCGAATCGTTCCTCCCAATATAAATCTCGTCCTTTGCACGTTACATTATACAGTTTTCGAAAACTGTTTAGGTTCCAAAGGCCTTTTTAACATTTGAGATCGGTTAGGCAACGAGTAGGTGGTTAAATCATTGGTTACTTGTGTCAGCTGTCAGTCAAGCACTTGCCGATCGGAAAGGTCCGCAGGACGTGATCTATAAACACAACGGAGTCGGGAGATCACACAGACGCAAACGGAAGGACATGTCACACGCCACAACCCAACTCGTTCTTAAACATCACTGGCTGTCGAATTGAAAAATACACATATTTAAATCTGTCTTACGGTAAAAACTGATTTATGATTTCCATAAAAAAAATAGTTGGTGGGTTTTGTGATGTTTACAGAACTGAAAGAAAACGATAAAGTGCGTCACGCAACAATAACGCTAATAAAGTCTTCTAAATTTTCCAGACACAGGAAGTACTTGCAGATACAGCTATGTAGTTAGAAACACAGATTGTGGGTTTGGCAGTGTCTTTCTCTGACATTTATTATCTCACGTTCATTTCCGAAAGCTATCTCTATAAAATGCTTTCACTAACTCGCGCATTGCTTCATCAACTTATTCTGTGTCTGCAACGTAAGATTTTTTGCCTCCAGCTTTAGATAAATACCAGACTAAGCTTAAAAAGAAGCCATCTTATCTGCTATCTGAATATTGTTGTCACTAACAATAATTATATCAGAGTACATGTCAAATCTCTGATACTTACATAGTGTAATGGTTAGTAAGCTTGTCTCGTTAGATCAGTTACGACCGAGTTCGATCCTCGCTGGGTGTTCCTTAATTTTTGCTTTGTGCCACATCTAAGCTATGATTTGTAAATCGCTGCATTGTTTAAGAATACATTTATCTAATATATGACATCGAGTTGATGTGTCTCATCACCATGCACTCAGAGAAAAGGATGATAGGACCTCGAACGTTTATTGATTTCAGTGTTGAATCGTAAAACTTATTTTTATTGAATCATATCCTAACGTGCAAATTGAAAACCATTATCTCATAGCATTCAAAGATTCTATGATAAGGCAAAAAGGTCAAAGATCAAAGAAAGAATGTTTCAGTTAGGGTTGCCAGTGTCGTAATGGCTTTTATAACGTGCAAGCATGCACCGAAAACCGATCTCAAGTCTGAGTTTCGTGACATCATTTTTATTTATTTATTTTTTTTAAATTTTTAACCAATTCACCCCAAGCAATGTAATAACATCACTGAGACGCAAAAAGCTACTAGAAGTGAAAGAGAATGAACAATACTTTAGAAAGAACTGGAAATCCAATAATAATATAAATTTCAGAGTTTAGGCGGAGACGTTGTGAGTATAAAGTTGAAGTCGAATTTAGAAGGAATCGGAAATCCAATCCTAATCAGAAAACAAGGAATAAATTTTTATTCCTGTTCAAAATACCGCGGAGGAGTTTGAACCGGACGATTAGCGTTTGAAGACATGAGCTACTAAAACTAATTGTTATAGAAGTTTTAATCAAACCACATAACTCTATTCCATAATTTATTCAAGACGCTTGGTGCTGCCATCTTTGGTATTTTGTTTAGTAATATAGTAGTATCAGTAGTAATATTAATAGCAATTAAATCATAAATAATTTCCGCGTATGCTCATCAGTTTTGTTCTTCAAGAACTAAATTATAATGACATTTTATTTAATTTTCTACATACAACGTGTGAAAGTACGTGCAATACCCTTTCATCAGCCACCAAATAATGAAGGTAAAACAGTTTCGGTGGCTAAGGAGGTACTGCCACCCCTGACGCCACCAGCAGCTTTTGCTACCGGTTTTTCTTTGTAGCCGTGTCAGTTTCTGTGATTTTTATGCAATATTGGGTTCAATAAAAGCGTTTGCTTTTGGTCGTTAAACAAAACAGAACGCGCTCGTAGTGACCGTTATCAATGACGTACAAAGGGAGGGTACAATTGTGCAAGTTTATATTCACTATTAATGACAATTACTTCTTGCCACTTATGAAGTAGCATTATCGATACATTGTGAGTAAAATTCTGAAGGTTTTGATGTGAAAAGTTTTCGCGCAACTGTTGAATCTGTTTTCATTAGAGAAAGTTTTCCCTTTCAAAGCGTTTTTCAACCATCGAAAAAGCTAAGAATCAGTTGGTGTAAAGTCGAGTAAATATGGCGGGTCGAGATAGGACAGACCAACCGAGTGCCAGACTCTTTCCCGTGTTAATCCTACTGTATATATCTCATGAAGGAGAACAATATTGTTTCTTTAATCCACTGTGTATCATGACACTGCTATGCAAAATCTAAGGTATGTGAATGTCTTTTAAATCTTATCCTTAACTGCCAGGCATGATTAGTAGTTAAGATGATATTTTCATCATTATATTTGTTAAAAAAAAGAAAAAAAAAACGCAATTACACATGACTCAAACTTATATTATCTTGAATGAAGGAAGCATTTTCAATTAGTATTTTTCTTGGGTATAACGATAAATTATATCCGGCAACAAGGCCTGTGATCAGGAGAGTAGAGTTTGAGGAGCGTGGAACCACTTCTTAATTGTTGTTGTTTTGGTCTACCATGACCCGAGGTTGGAACTCCTGTAAGGATCCCATCTAGGTGCATATAGTGAAACCTGCCAAACAAAAATAAAACTATATGACAGAATAAAACTACATTTTTATAGTAAAAATACCAGCGATACATTTTATATAAAAAGAATTACCAACCGTACTTATTTGTAACTAATTACCAACACTAACAATTTATAGTAGTTACCAATAATAGCTCTTTATAGCAGAATTACTAATAATATATTTTATTTTGGTGTTAAAGGCATACAATTGCGTTCAAATTATTTAGATTTCAGTATTAAATAATCCATTAGGTTAGTAAAACCCCAAATTAAATCAACAATACATTTTTATAGTAAATTTGCCAACAATACATTTTATCGTACAATGACCAGCAATACATTTTTATAATAAAATAAACAACAATACATTTTTATAGTAAAATTATCAACAATATATTTTCATAGTAAAATTATCATCAATACATTTTTATAATAAAATGCCCAACAATATATTTTTATAGTAAAATTATCAGCAATACATTTTATAGTAAAATGACCAACAATGCATTTTTATAGTAAAATTATCAGCAATACATTTTTATAGTAAAATGACCAACAATGCATTTTTATAGTAAAATGACCAACAATACATCTCATCTGTAGTTGAAGGCATAGAATTGTGTTTAAAATATTACGATTTCGGCATTAAATAACCCATGGAGGTGTTGGTATGGCACTAAACAAAATCAACCAGCCAAGGCGTATTTCTAAATGGCTGCATTACGTTGCAACACCGGCTCCCGTGCGATCACTAAAGTTAAGCAACATTGAGCCTGGTCGATACAAAGATGGGTGACAGTTTGAGAATATCCAGTGCTGTAAGCTTAAATGTAGTGGTGTAATGGATAATGGGATTTTTATTCGAAGAACCGAAATCCAATTCTACTTGGGTTCGTTATATTCATACGCGCAAATACCCTTGGGAAAGTTATTAATCTACCTCTTCTTTCCTAGCTATGGATTATTTAGTAAGACTTGCCTCACTAAATTATTGTTATCTCTAACAACAAAAACATTACTGTCTAAAAATATTTACTGGCATTAAAGGGTTGACAAGCCATAGAAAACGTAGTTATCAATCAAGTTATTTACCTTTTTATTACGAATGCTGAAATTAAGATGCAAGTAATACTACATAAAACTGAATAATTGTCAACAATACAATTCAAGGCAATACTACTATAAATATTCACTTCGGTTTCTTGGTAGTCATCTATAGCAAGTTGTCTGAGAAATAATAAAAGAACAAGAACATGAGAAGAGTAAGAAAGGTAATTCAGTAGGAACTGTGCAAGCAAACTACATTTTGAACGCACAGACTAATTGTATATGCGCAGACCAAAATCTCTTCCAGAATACACGGCCTTGTGGTTGTAATTATTATTATTATTATTATTATTATTATTATTATTATTATTTTATATATATAAAATTCACTGGAAGGGCTCCAAATACAACTGGAATTATAAATAAAATAATTCCAGTTATAGTTGAAACCCTAGGATTGATTGAAAAAGGTTCCGAAAGACTAATTGAAAGGATTCCTGGTAGTCGATGCTTCACAAGTACAGCTCACGCATTACAAAGGGGTTTATCTATGCCAAATATGTGTGATATTAAGTTGTTTTGCTTTTATTTTTATTTTCTTTTACAAAAATGTTCAGTGGAAGATGTTATGATGTCATTTTTGACCTTTGGTCTATAGTTGGTACCCGGAAGGAAATGACTATTCAACAGAAATCAATGGAAATGATAATAATCATAATAATAATAATAATAATAATAATTATTATTATTATTATTAGTAGTAGTAGTAGTAGTAGTAGTAGTAGTATTCAGTAAACTATAAAACAAGTGGGATCTACAGTATATGGGTTTTTTGCTTTTTATGATGTTGTCATTTCTTCTTCTGTGTTGTGTTACCTGAAGACGTGGGCGATCATGGCTCTCCACAACGTCTTGACATTATAGACCTTAGTGAGGTTTGGCTTCTTGCTTTCTTTCCTAATGTCTGTTCTATTAAACATTTACAGAAGCTTGTTAGGTTATTCGCTGCTTTTCTCTGTTTCGCTTGTCTTCAATACGTTCTTATGAGTCTCAAATTCTCAAAGCCCTCTTTCCACAAGCTGTCTCATTCTGATTCTATATATAAGCATCGTTTATCCTTCCATTTTCACTAAGACTTCCTAGTTGCTTACATGTTCCACGTATGGTATTCTCAGTATCCTTCTGTAGAACCATGTTGCTTCAAGTCTGTACTTCATCTGTAAGGAGATTGTCCAGCATTCGCTGCCAAATAGAAGGCCCGATACTATGTAACATTTCACTACTCTTTTCTTTGTTTCTAACGAAATTTTCTTGTTGCTTCATACTTTATTTAGATTTTGGTAGGCATCTTTCGCTATCCCAATGCGCATTCGGATTTCGATGTTATATATTCCATCTACTGTTAACGCACTTCCTAGATATTCAAATTTGTGTACTTCTTTGATTTTGGTGTCTCCAATTCGTGGTTTGCATCTTGGGTTGTTTCTCTTACTGATAACCATATATTCTGTCTTTTTAAAATTGATAGTTAGTCCTTTCTTCTCGCTTTCCTTTACTACCTTCAATAGTTCCTGTCATTTTCTTCCTGTGTTTGCTTTCAGCAGTGTTTTTGGGGTGATGCATACTCTCTTTCATTTTTCTCTCTTACTCTGTTTCGCTTTGCTCTTACCACACTAGCGAGCTAATTAATTACCCCGCTTTAATCATATACCTATAGATAGCTAGTAGCTAGCAACCGCCATGTTTTCAAAACTTTCCTCCCCCTTTTCTCTCTCTCTCACTCTCTCTTCGTCTCACAAAGCCTAACCACATTTTTTCCTTCTACATTTCTCTTTCTACAGATTTTCTCTATCGGAATTTCTGTGAAATTGAGTAGAACATTTTCTACTCAATTGCAATGACTTTTCATAATTTTTTTTCTCCTCTCCCTGCATCACGCTTAATTCTTTTATTTTCCTAGCAAGAATGAAGATTCTCAGAACGGGTAAAGTGGCTCTTTGAAAAACAGATTGATTTCAGAAATAACAAAACAGTAGATGTTGAAAATGCAACCCCCAAAATCTTATATAAATAAAATAAAAAGGACTGATTTGAAGAGAACCATTTTAGGTGAAAATCAAGAATAAGTAAATTATGTAAGGATGTTGAATGATTTGTCTGATTGCCTGTCACTGTTTGTCCATAATTCTGTTTTACTGTACATCTTTTGTCTACATTCTGTCCGTGCGTCTGTCCATCTATGTGTGTCCCTTCATATTTACCCTGTCAGTTTATATTTCTTTATGTCTGCCCCTATTGAACAATCACTGAATTATTATTTCCTTTCTTTTTCTTTTCTTTCTTTCTTTCTATCTTTCTTTCTTTCTGCAGTTTTAATTCCGTCTTTCTTTCTCAAACAATTTTAACATATTCTTTCTTTCTTTCTTTCTGCAGTTTTAAAACAATTTTAATATTCTTTCTTTCTTTCTTTTTTTTTTCTTTCTTTTCTTTCTTTCTTTCTTCAGTTTTGACAATTTTAGCATATTTTTTTTCTTTCTAAGAAAGATATTTAAAGTTTTGTTCTTAAGTTTTCCTCCTTACACTAGCTAAAACTTCATTCTTGCGCTTTTTTCTTTCTTTTTTTTCAGTTTTTTTCTTTCTTTTTCAACCAATTTAAGCTTTTTTTTTCTTTCAACGAAGGGTATTTGAAGTTCTGAACTTGTATTTTCTTTCTCACACTAGACGAAATTTCATTCTTTCCTTTTTTCTGCAGTTCTGATTAATTCATTCCTTCCTTTCTCAGCCAATTTAAGCTTCTTTCTTTCTTTCTTTCTTCCTTTCTTTCTTTCTTTCTTTCTTTCTTTCTTTTCCTGTAGTATTGATTATGTATTATTTTTTCTCTTTCTTCGAGTTTTTTTCAATATTTGCATAGCACTCAAGTAAATTTCGAGACCACTAAACGATGGAAACAATGGAAACTTCTCACCACTGAAAATCCGTCTAAACTTTTAAAATATCCGTTGAGTTCTTTGAATAAAATGCATCATAAAAAGTATTACTCCTTATTTATATTCAGGGGATTCATTGCTAAAAATTAGATCAGTTTACGTTCTTCTTTCTTTCTTTCTTTCTTTCTTTCTCTAATATAAGACTGTGTGTGTCCACTCAAAACCCTGAAAATTAATCTTTTTAATATAAAATTGAGTGTCTGTCCGAGTGTATGTGAGCAAATATTACTTAATTCCGTAACATGCAGTTTTATAGTTTATATCTATCAGCATAGGTTTTATAACTTGCTTAACTGAGCAGTGCTTACTTAATGAAAATAATTGAATAACATATTTAGCTTCAAAATCAATTTAAAAGAATCACTGTTTTCTCTTTTCAAACCTGGTCACTTATGATCTTTATAAATAAGCCATTGTTTTCATGACTTTTATAATTAAATTGCTTATTCAAATAAAGCCATTTCCTTCTCTGAAAAGGGTGAACACTGTAGCATTTCGATCACAGCTTAAAAGTAATTAGCAATATATAAAGGGAATTAAGCAACTCTGACAGCTTAAATAGTGCATTTTGAAAATCTAAGGAATATAAATATTTATTTCTGAAATATTTATTTTAAACTTTGTTAATAAATGTATCAAAATAAATTACTTTGTTTTATTTCATAATGACTTTATTTGTATATCTTACTGAGTTTATTTGAAGAAAGTGACCAACATTTTACATTTCAAAACAATGGGATATTTTCTTTGCGAATAAAAAACAACTTGAATGGAAATATTTTCTTTTCTATGCATTGATGGAACATCTGTAAATTGTCCGCCCTGTCTTGAATGGGACTTAAACAGCAACATTCCGGTGACGATGTCATCATACTTAACATTTCGTCACGTTAAAATGTTATATATGACACGAATGACTAGCAAATTATTGAAACCTCTAGACCTCCTTTAATAAAGACATTTTCGTTTAGACCAATTTACGGAATCTGTAAAATCAAAGTCGAACAAAGAAACGAATTCTTACGGCAGCGTAGCAAAGGAAACAAATTTAGCCTGTGCAAAGAACTGGGTGGCATAAGATTGTATTGCGCCGATGTAAATATAGGAAAAAGCCATCTAGTCTTGAAAATCAGCAATGGAAATTCTTCCTGGTTCCGAGCGTTGGAGCCAATGGGAAATATGCAACTAATCCAGTTTCTACTTATACCAAACACTATGCATGTGCCTCTCTCTCTCTCTCTCTCTCTCTCTCTCTCTCTATCTATCTATCTATCTATCTATCTATCTATCTATCTATCTCAGTCTGTTAATTATCTATCTATCTATCTATCTATCTATCTATCTATCTATGTCAGCCTGTTCACTATCTATCTATCTATCTATCTATCTATCTATCTATCTATCTATCTATCTATCTATGTCAGCCTGTTCACTATCTATCTATCTATCTATCTATCTATCTATCTATCTCAGCCTGTTCACTATCTATCTATCTATGTCAGCCTGTTCACTATCTATCTATCTATCTATCTATCTATCTATCTATCTATCTATCTATCTATCTAGGAGTGTTCTGAAATGTTTTTGGTTTAATCTACTACTCAAAATCCGACCAAATCACCAAACATGAGATCTTGTTGTTTCTTGATCGTTCCGAGAACTTTTCAGTACGCCTCCTATCTGGCTGACTGCAACAATAACAACACGGTATCAAATGGCAAATCTCATCTACCGGATTCGTCACTGCTTCCGTCAATGTCACATACATTGCAGCTTTTCCAATTCGATT